CGCCGTTCCCCAATGGATTATGGTTTTCACACACCAACCCGCTGCATTGTGAGTCAGGCTTTGGCACACAGTTTAGCCTCACAAGTGTGTGAAATAAAAATATATACAATCGGTCAACTGTACTTCGAGGGAAAGCACAAATTGAGTAATACGAACGAGGGAAACTAATGGAACCCAGCGAAACAAAAGAGAAAAATGGAGAACTATCATGATTATTCTCATTATCATGTCCACCAGCACCAGCAGCACCGCCACCTACGCTTCTTGAACTCGGNNNTTTTTATGGTCAATGTCTTCCGTGCCAGACATGTGGCAAGAAACAAGTTGTCAGGCCCAGGGCGTCAAACAAGAACACATGGGTGATTGCGCGAAATGGACAAGTGAGACATCCTATGTGTGTGTGTGTGTATGTATGGAGGATTCGACAGAGTGTAGTGAAACTTGGAGACTGGCAAGGAAGCCACCGAGAACTAGGAGGACTGGATGAGTGATCGCATGAGAACAGTTGAAGCACGTTAGCAAATCGTTCTATGAAGTGCAAGGATACATGCATGAGACAGAGAAACCCAATTGGTGAATTAATCGCAGACAAAAATATATATAACAGCAGACAACAGATTCGCTAAACCAATGCTGACAACAAGCAATCATGTGGTGCATGAATGGCTGAATGGTTGGATGTGTTATCTCAGCTGTAGTTCTTTATGATTCATAAGAAATTTTATCTATTGGTAAGGAAGATTGTCTTGGAATTTGCCCAGTTAGGTTCGATGTACGTAAATGCTACAAGACAAAAACATCATACTAGGGAACGAAACACATCATCAGTTAAACTCCGTCCACAATCTGATCTGTTTACCCGAGGCTGATTTATCATCCAGAATCAGTGAGTTAGGCAACAATGAGAAACCGTTTCATTCGGGCTTATATGGGTCTAATCCTCGAAATTCACAGGGAAATTCTAGTGTATTTGAAAACAAATACGAAAGAGTGCGAGTCAGTTTGTTGTTTTCAGACACAAAAGCAACACGCTACCTCCCCCGCCTGTTTACTTTGCACATTCTCTCATTTCCGAAATGACCCAACCATACACTGACGAGCAGCCTGCATCTCTATTGAATCTGGTTCAAAAGGAGTGGTTGGTGATAACTGAGAACTGTCCGCTACTCACAGATGCAAATTAGATCCGACTAAAAAAGACATTTCTGAGTGAACTGTATATTATCGGGACCGAAAAAAGATATATGTCGTGAGATGGTGTTAACATTTCGTTCAATCTTCTCAATCGCTGACGTGAAACAAACAAACAAAAACACATTGGATTCGTAAATCCTAGTGAACGGACATGTACTATGAGATAGGGACTTCATCAAAGTGGTTGGTGAAGTCGATGGTGCACCCCACACTCAGTAATCAGACGGTAACACGTAACCCGGGGTCATCAATTGCAAAGCACGTCATGACTACCAAACACAACTGATTCCGCTTCCTCTTTCAAACCGTTGTTGCGTAACTGCAGTGCAAAGCTCTTTGTGATAAGTGAGGCGTTGCTAATTCGATTACATAATCTCGTTCTGTGCCCCCAACAGTTATTGATCCAATCAGTTCACTTGTCGTGGAGTTGACTTGTGCTTTTAATTCGAATACCCCCTGTCTAATTGTACACGTCCGTTTAGTAGGTTTTACGAAACCAATACGTTATTAATGTGCTTGTTTATTTTACCTCCGCGATTGGAAAGATTGAACGAAATGTTAACATCTCACCACATATGGCTTCTTTCGGTCCTGATACGATGCATAAGGGGAACCCAAATTTCTAAAATGAACTCTATATACCAAGAAACACGAGCAGTTCTGAAAGACTGCCTATATGAAGAAGGAAAACGAAATTTTATGTCAACTGCATATAGCTAATAAAGAGAGTGATTTCATCAAGTAGTATACCAGTTATTATTCTGACAAATAACGCGAGTTTGAACTAAACATGATCTGTCCGTTTACCGTCTATTTCTTCTTCCCCATCATTTCAAATGGATTAAAGTAGAGCTCATAGTTGATGGTCAGTCCTTAGGTTTGACTTAAGGATTTCAGCATCACTGTGACTGCCATCAGCAGTCATATCCTCGCTACCAAAACCCCAACCAAGTTTGTTCTTCCGGTCCTAAATAAAACCTTTGATTGACCAACTGTGGCAAAATTTCGATGAATAACGTATAAGATAATTTTCATTCATTCCACACACACACACGCACACAGGTTCCACTTGACACTCGACAACATACCGTGCCAATGCTGCTAGGCTGTATGACCTATTTGGGTAACTAAGGTCAGGATTCGAACCCGAACATGAAGAAGTTTTACTCCAACGTACCAATTTGCCCAGGCCAACGGGATTGGATTACCACTTTCTAGATGCCAGCCTTACATGATTTGATGCTTATTTGTCATTGAACTTGAAAGTGCCAGAACTTACTAGCCAGTCATTGGCCGGATGATGCAACATATCATGAACAAGCTACGCCTCTCGAAATCGTTTTACCAGTAATACTATTAGTATTATCAGTATTACTATCGCTTACTGATATATAAACATGCGAATGTGCACCACTAGGAAGACACAGATGAGAGTCACACGCATTCGGGAGGTGGGTGAGGGATGGGGGCTCAAACCGAACGAAACTGATTACTACGTTCTCGTCTGAGTTATCAAATTAACCCTCATGGGACAAAATGTACTCGCTTCATCTAAGTGAGTGAATATCAAATGCGGTATTTCGAAATCCGTTCCGAAAACCGAAAAAACGCGCATCAAGGGAACGTAAAACAAATTAACCGCCAGGAACCATTTGAGTTGCATTGGAAGGAACGAGTACGGAACTATAGTGCAAGCATTCTAAATACGGATACCAACAAATTGGAGTGTGTTTGACACAAAAATAACTAACCCGACGAGCGTTAACGGGATTCCGTCTGCGCAGAGCACCCGTAGAACCAACCGGGCGCTGCTTTAAACCGTTGCGACCACCTTCGGCACCAGCACCAGCACTACTACTGTTTCTCGTATCGACACAGACACTACCATCACTGTCTCGACCTAAACTGGGAGATGCACCAGTTTTGTTTCGTAATTCAACCTCAGCCAACTCAACCCCCGAATCAGAGGACAGACTATGAATGCCTGATGAGACGAAATCGGTTTTGCTCCCTGCAGACTGGATTATCGATGCAGACGGAATCGTCAACACACCGTTGGCGGCAACCCCGACTGGAGGCTGCCCCGAACCAGCTATGTAGGTGATCGGAATGGACTCCTTTCCGTTGAATGGGACCAAATCCCACACGGTACGGCGTCGATCGATCATGCGGGCATGACGACTGGTATCGGCTGGTCGTCGTAAAGGTCGACAAAGTCCGTGATCGATTGGAACCGCATATTGCATTGCGTGCGTGCCACTTGTCTGGGATGCGGATGGACAGGAGTTCATCCGCGTGTGGATTAGGACTGGTCGAGATGAATGCGGGGTAGCCAATACCGGTATCGAGACACCTAATTCCTGTCGAACGGACCTCGGCGGGTGTTGTTGCTGGGACGCGGAACATTCAGGCTTCAGTTTTTGACTAGAACCACGGCCCGAACAACTTAGGTCACGCAATCCCATGACCAGTTTCGGACGTGCAACGTGACCGGAGTGAACAGATTTGACCGACGGAGCGTTCGGGATCGGTGTCACTGGGTTTGAGCACAGTTTGTCTAGTGATTGTAAGCTCAATGCAGTTTGCATTCGAACGGGTATGAGATACGACTGAATCGATGCGCGATAAGCCGATCGATTTAGAGGAGTAGGATACGCGGGAGGTATGGAAGTCTGATAGACAGGTTCCTGGTGTCTCCGAACCACCGGTGTCCACGCTGCTGCATACGCGGCTACTGGTTGATGATCAATAGGAGTGGTAATCATGTTCCCGAATGACTGTGTGCCAGTACCTTGGATCGGATAAACCGGGTAAGCGTTTCGGTTAGAAGGGATGGTGTAAAATGCCGCGGGGGCTTGCACCCATGACTGTGAGATCGGTGCCGTTGCCACCGACAACGGCGGTGGTGGTGGTAGTTGACATTTGGTGGATTTCTGCTCACTGTGCACCGCTCTGTTTGATCCCGGCTGTTCATCTGCAAATCCGGGAGGTGGTGGCGGTGGCGGAGTCGAAGCTGTGGACGAGGTGGTTGAATCACGATCCGCAGTATTGTTAGCATCCACGGTTCCAGTAGACACTCCACTCACACCTGTCTTGGGCCATGCCGGCTGAATGGGTGCTAGAGGTTGTCGGACTGTCATGTGGCTGGCACTGCGTTTACGCATCCCACTCGTGTTAGTCTCAGCACGTGCAACACGTGAATTCACTATCGCTGGTGTGCCCGGGTCGATAGCCACTACTGGATAAGATATGGCGTTCAAACCACGCGAGACTGACGGATTCCAAACAAAGGAACGACGTCGAACATGTGGATCCAGTGGTTGAGCTGGAGCCGAAACCAGGGAGTAGAAATTCGGATAAAGATGTTGCATCACCGATCACAAGAAGTTCCAGATGGTAGGGCATTCGGAGGTTGTAAGGTCTGGACTGCGGGAATCCCACTTCCCACAATAATATTATTCAATGTGCCACAATGAGATGGTAGTGATCTTCAAGAGTTCCCAAAACTGACTACGAAGCTGTGTGCTTTCGAGAGATCTCATCTCTATTACACAGACACATGTGTGTGTGTGTGTTTCGTTGTGCTCGTGTGTGCACGCACGTACATTAAGAGGTCTTATTTCTAGCCGATGGGACGGCCGGACATGGGTAGCTATGAATGCAAAAGTTACGTGTGTCTATGTGTGCACCCGATACGGGTTCCCATTTCTAGCCAGTTCGATCGCTATTCTGATCGCTCTCCACCCCACCCCACCCCACCCCAACCGCGCTTCCACTTCCACGATGTGGAGCATCATCATTACGAGAGAATATGATAGGATTGGATCGGACCAATCGGCGGAGAGGTGAACGGAAAAGACTTGTGCATTTGAAGCACACGTATAAATGCACACAAACGGGCACACGCACGGAAGCACGCAGGCAGACAAGCTCAAGAGACCAACCGGAAGCGTGAATGTGCGTTCGGTTACTGGTTCTGGCACTAACGGTGACGGTGTATCTTTTCTAACTGCCATTGCTATGGTAACCTCGTGTGCCTGTGTGCGCATCAGTGATACAGAAGTTAGATCCTTCTTCACATGCACACACACACACATACACACGAATGCATGTAAGCTGAACAGATTCTTAATCAACACATCATCATCTTACATGAGAGTAGTGGAAAATTTAGTTTGATAATGGTGAATTTCATCGTGTAAAGAGCAAATAAAGCGTGAACTGAACATCCAGGAGGTAGTAGTGGATAGTTGGTTCGACTTAGGTGGGTCTCATCACCATGTGATCAAAACAAAAATCACCAATATTATCCGACAACATGTGATCAGATTGGAATGCTTCCGACCCCGGTACAACCCCGGAAGCTAGTTCTGAGATGCGTGAGGTGCGATACCTGTACTAAGCTCGCAAACATGGATTGTACTCTGTTTATCGCGTTGTGGTCAAAATGACGAGCGGTCACATTAGCTACCGGGCTAGCAATATACTTGCGTTCTACATGAGAGATTACGGTCTCGATACCCAATTGAGTCGACGGACTCGCAATGCTGATGAAT